TCTTTCCTTAGATAAGCTTCCAGTGTCTGAGTATCATTTATTTTGAAAATGTAAGGAGCAATTTTTTCACCTTGTTCTTTCTTTAAAATACTTCTGATAGTACTATAATTCTTGGGTTCCATGGTAGACCTAATGTAAATTAACTTCATATTAACTATTTTTATCTAGGAGTAATTCTAATATTAAGAAGATAACAAATGGAAGATTTTAATAATCACATTACTAAATTTTGATCCCTGAAATATTTGATAATACCAATGTTCACTTTGCCTGGTTTTGTTGCAGCATGCCCCATGTATAAAATAAACAAACACATGTTAATTATTTATGAATTTTTGGATAGTTGTTGGAGAGGCAAGGCCATTGTGAAATGTTTCATGATCCTTTCTAATGATTAATTGTTTTAATTAGTTATAGACTCTTTTAAATTTGCTATGTTTCTTGGATGCCCAAGAAGTATAATTGTAAATATTTCTTGCATATATATATTTTCTTTTTAGAGAATGTATCCGACTTGGTCAGATAGGGGAAATAATAGCTAAGGAAGGCAATCACCAAGAACTGTTATCAGGATAGAGGTTAGCTCTAGTGAGTGATAAGGAGGAAGTTAAAAACTTGGAAACATGCTCATAATATAATCCTATATATAAAATTTTATCGCTGTTTTTTTTTACAATTATTTTAAACAATAAAGTTCCTATTATATGTTTTTACTCAACCTTTTATTTGGCTTTTTCCATGGCAGTGAATTTTTTGGGAAAATAGAAAGTTTTTCAAAAACTGTGTAAACAATGACTAATTTTACATTGAGAGAATTTTACATACAAAAAAAATAATTTTCCATGATGAATTGATTATTTATTTGTTATCATCAAAATTATATTAAGCTGAACCAATGATGATGAAAATGCCTAAACTTGGCCATTCAGAATATTTGTTGTAGTACTGGTTTCGTTTATTTGTTCATTCATTCATTCTTATGACCCAATTTAATTCAAGTAAATTTTTAGAGAATATCCGTTTCTAGGTCATAAAAATATATTGAGATAAATCTAATTTCATCTAACATATGTGTTATATTTTTCAAATTTTGTCTTTTAAATTGAAATTAATAAGTTTGTGCTTTTGGTACTTAGGGATGGGTAAAATGCAAAGTTTTAGTTTATTGTGTGCATAGTCAATTATATATATAAAAAAAAAGAAAGTTTCAAGGAATTTTTTTCAGTACATTTAAACTTCCCCAATTTGATTGAGAGGTATCACTTGCTAATATGAAAATGATATTTAATTAGATTCAGTCTACCAATTTATAAATAAAACCAGCCATTGTCCATGTGGTTTTTCTTTAAAAGTTGGTCAATGGATTATTGCTGATCATTAAATTGAATCAACATTAATGATTTTTAAAAAACATTCATGTAATAAACCATAAAATTATTTTTAGCTTAAGATGTGGCAAAAAATATTATATATACTTGCATTTATTATATTTAACTAAATAAGTTACACCAGAATCATAAAAATCATTGGATTCTTCTCTTTTCATTTTAACTACTACTAAACAAATACTCATATTCACTTTCTTTCATTTTCATTTTGTATTTGAACATCATCATTTCTACATTGATGTCTTTTATGGTATTTGCAATTTATATACTATAATATATACCAATTTTAGGACATGATCAGCTGTTAATCAATTTCATTTCTTATCATGAATATAAAACAAAAGCTGACCAATTTTTTTGGATGCTGCAGATGATGTTGGAATGGATAGAGCCCATTTTGCCATTATATTTTGGTACATAACACAAATTTATTTATATTTATTATGTGCATGGCACATCTCTACTCCACTGTACCATGAGCCATTACTGGTTCAGAAAATAGGAATTTGTAATTAATCTATAACCATGATTTGTTTAAAATATAAAAAATCATATCTGATCAATTGTCTCTTGTCTAAGTTCTTGTGCTTGATTGCCTGTGATGACCTAAGATAAACTTGTGTATAAGATTAATATGGGGCATGCTGCAACAAAACCAGAAAAAGTGAACATTGGCCTCTTCTAGTTGTTTAATTCTTTCTTCTAAACCCTTTACCTTATCTAGTAATTCCTGTTTTTGCTTTTTACTTCACTCTTCAGATTTTCCTGAAACTTGACTATTTCTTCTCTTTCAATTTTTAATTCTTCTTTGGTAATTGATAACTCTTTTTCTAGTTCTCTAGCTTTATTTTCTAGGCAAAAACTGAAAGCTTGTGAAAGTAGTTCTTTGTCAGAAAGTGGTTTAGTTGATTTAGTTTTTAAATGACTACAAAAACATCTGTTTCTATTCCTTTTTAACCTACCACATTTCTCACATCATGGAAGAGTATTATTATCATAATCGTTTTTACATTCACCACAGATAAAGACAATGTCAGCATAACCATCAGGAGTATTACGAGCCACCATTTGATGAGTAGCAGGAGCAGTATCAAAATTAAGGAGAGTTGAGTTGCGCCATAAATTTTTTATAAAAATTATATCGAGGGTAAAGAAATTTTCAATTATTACATGTAAAAATTTTGAACCATATTATTATGTAGGTTATAGAGCAATGATTAAAAACTTAAATTGGCAATATTATTTTGTATCGAGTTTTTTTTTTTATTCAATAAATGAATATCATGCGTGTCAATTGAGTAATCGATTTTTTGTGTGCGCAATTATTTTCGCAACACACTGTACATAGAGGAAGATCCACCACATAAAGCCTCCAGAATCACTAATAACTATTTGTGAAATGACGAGTTTATAGTTTTTGACCAATTTCCAATACTATGTCCGTTAGTTTAGGTTAGTATTAGTAAATTTCCTTTTTATTTACCTTGTAAGTGGTTTTTTCTGGAGACAGTTAGATTTGTTGATCAACCAACTGATATCAAATACCTCAATCCTTTGTTACAGTATGCCCCAAATATTTATATTAGAAAGCGTGAATTTTTCTATATATCTTATATTAATTATTATTATTATTATGATTATAATCAAATTTCAGCAGATAAATCATGAAGATAAGGATGGAGCATGGGAATTTAATGAATGGATTGGTTATTGTTACAAGATAATTCTTTATAAGATAATTATTACATGATTCGTTAATATTTACATAAATAAAATAATAATAACAATACAATATTTTTTTTTTATGTAAAAATAATAATAATAAAATATGATGATTAATTCAGAGATAAATGTAATGATTAATTATTTAACATCCTTAACATCACTAAGTTGAATTTCTGGTTCATCCTTCAATTCTACAAATCTTTCACGATATTTTCTCCTGCCAAAAATAAACAACCAGATTGCAACACCAAATCCAGCCAAGCCAGCAAGTATACTTACAGCTATAATTATAGCATTCTTTGGATTCTTATTATCATCATTATCATTATCATCACCATTGTCAGTACTATCATCACCTAAAAATTCTTTGGTTGTACATTTACCAAAATCACTTATTGGTAGAGTCGAAGCATTTTCTAAATCTGTAGTACAATTCTCCTTTGTGATTATATTTCCACTAACAGAATCAAAAAATCTTTCCAACCATGTGATCTTATAATTTGGTTGATAAGTTGGATACTGCACGGCTATTAAATCTTGTATGGCAATGTCAGGTCTAGATGAAGAACGTTCATTCCAATCACTAAAACCTAAAGCATTTTTAGTTTTAGAAGTACGAAATACTAATTTATTTTTTATAAAGTATGGAGGAGGGTTTTCTTTGTCATTTGGATTCAAATTATAATAGCCAAATAATTTACTCCAATACTCATATTTATCGTTGGGATACACAAGCTTTGTTTGGTCAATTACAATATGTGCAGATGCAATCATTTTTTGAAAATCTTGTATAGAACTTGTAGCGGATGTTTTTGTAATATCCAATGTAGTTGCACCTAAAATATTTATAGTATACATTTACTTTTAACATATATATTTTTAAAAATCAAAATAAACAAAATAAAATAATTAAATATAAACCTGCGTCAATTGTTAAATTTGTATAATAGTTATTTAAATTAACACTATACTGATTTGTGTCATTATTATAAGCCACCCAAGCAATTTGTTTCTTTTTGTCGTTTGGAATGTTTGCAAGATTATTTTTATTACAAGCGTAAATGATTTTTAACGCATTTAAAGAATTCAAAGCAGTTTTTTCAAGATTATAGAATGAAGAAATAAATTTGATCCATTCTGATTTCTAATTAGAAATTAGAGCATTAGAATTAGAATTTCTTGAGAAAAGAAGAAAAATTTTTATTATTAATGATAAAGACTCACTCTTATTGGTGATAAATCATCATCTATAGAAACAGAAACATCTTTTCCTGAATTTAAAGAAGTTCCATCAGTAAATACAACGTCTACATTTGTTATATTTAGGCCAAATGATTCTATCGAGTTATTTTTTTGTAGACATGGAGAAACAATAGTTGCGTTATTTGTAACATATTTTAATGTTGATTGAACTCCTAAAATCTAAAATAATATATTTATTTATTATATATGTTTATATTTTTAAAAATAATGAGAATATCAAGAAGTTCTCACCTCTAAAAATGAAACAGTAGAGTTTTCTAAACCAGCAACATTTTTAACTGGTATTTGAATAAAAGCTTTAGCAGTATTTGGTATATTAGTATTGTTTGGTTTTGCGCTTGAACAATATAACACGTAAACTTCCTTAGTTTTTAAATTGGTTACAATTTTATAAGTATTATGATATTCTAGAGTGAAACCAAAATCAAGACCTTGTTCTATACATAAATGAAATAGAATATAATTAAAAACTGGTGAAATAAACGAGTAATAATAATAATTATTATTATTATGAGAGGCTAACCAGCTGCTGGTATTTTATCAGGAAAATAGTCAGTTTGGTCATCACCAGTTAAACAATCAGACGTTACTGTTCTCACCATGAGAATGCATATTAATGAAAATATTAATACGTAACAACATGAATGTTTGAATGTAATTTTCTTCATGACTCATAAAATTTTATTTATCATTAATAAAATTTTAAAAGCCTCGGTTAAAAATAAATGAAACCTTGTTTGTTACAAATCACACCCATGTACACAAAATGATAAATTAAATCTCATCAGTTGAGATGATTTCCCTCTTTTGACAACAATTATAGAATTTGCCAAAACAAATTTGATATAGTGTAGGACATTTATAATGGTCAATGATTATCACATAACTTTAAAAGTTTACAACTTCTTATTAAAAAAGAAAAGAAAAAAGTAAACCGATATAATTAAAGCCAAAGACATAAGCTTCATTTTATTAAAAAAGTTGAGTTATAAGGCTTCAAAGTTAGGCCATTTTATTAATATTAATATTAATATGTAAATTGTAAAATTCCGGAATGATCTTCCTTTGTATTTCCTAAAAGGTTGATGATCGGTTTAAAACTTTAAATTTCGGACTGTGACATTTATATATAGATGACTTGAACCATTATCAAATTTAATGTTGCAAATTTGGTGAAGGCGAAATACGTGCTATTAATATCAATTAAACAATTGGTCAGCTTCAAAATACTATATAAAACAAAAAATTCCAAATCTTTACATTTCGTGTAACGAATATTTTTTAACTTCTTTTTTAAGCTAATGCGAAATCGCGTTGTAGAAAGCACTTACCCCAGGTAAGACATTTTGATCACATATATGACAACCATTTGCCTTTTTTAGATGTCAACGAAAATTTTACTCTTGAAAATATATTATGATCTCTTGAAAATTCTTGGATACAATTTGCATTGCCCATCCCTTGACCAAACAAACCTATTTGATTTTGAGTGTAATAAATACTTTCCAACTCTAACTTATTTGACAAATCAATGCATCTTGTCAAAGGGAAATCCAAAGAACAAAACTCAAGGACCCTTTGACGATTTCTCTCAACAAAAAGTGACCTCTTGCTTGACAAAATGTATTTAAGGGATGTATATGGGACATGCTGCAACAAAACCAGACAAAGTGAACATTGGTATTACCAAGGATTTCAGGGATCAAAATTTAGTCATTTGCAATCAACAGTTTTATAATATCCCGTTTGTTATCTTAAGTGATATATAGAACTATCCCTATATAAAAATAGTTAATATGAAGCTAATTTACTATGGAACCAAGAATTATAGTACTATCAGAAGTATTTTGAAAAAGGAACAAGGTGAGAAAATCGCTCCTTATATTTTTAAAATAAATGATACTCAGACACTGGTAGCTTACCTAAGGAGAGAGAAGATCGTTTATGAAATTTACCAAGAAGAAAGAAAAATCATAAATAAACATTAAGAAAAAGAAAACAGAACGAAGGTGTACCATTATCCAACAAAAGCAAAAATCCTTAAAGGAAAATAATCTCATTGTTACTGTAAACTTTCAAAATGTTCAAAGAGTTATTTAAACGAACAAGTAATTTAATTATTGTAAAATTACAAAGTTTAAAAGTTAATTGAGAATCAGTAAAGTAATAGTGATCGGCGGGGAAATTGACGAAAAAAACACTAATCGGTCGGTAACCTTTTATAAAAAAAAGTTACTATACTTTTGTCTTGCAAGATAAAATTTTTTTGTGTACATTAATAAAATAAATCTCTGATTTTTTATTGACTTTAATTATGTAAAAAAATATATTTTTATTGATTTTTCTGTGTAACATTTATTATTTCTTACGTTGATATATTATAAATAAAAAAATGCTTGTAATAATAAACCCACAAATATGTATTTATGCTTTGTCTGTCTATGTTTCATTCTATGTCTGACTAGAGTCATTCTCTAATAAACCAATAAATAAAGCAAAAATATCAACAAAAAAACTTTGTTAATAAAGGCAGAAAAATCATGTCATTAAATTGATTCATTAGAATTCATAGACGGATCATCAATTAACTTTATTAACTTAGATCAATGTCCTTTTTTATAGAGAATACATAGATTGATAAATATAAATAATAATATACAAATATAATGTAAACATTAATCTTAGTGAACTTATCAATCTATCTGGATGATTAGGACATAATAATAACTAATAAATAAATTAAACAAACGAGTTAAAACGACGCGAAAATTAAATTGAATGTTACACGTAACACAAGACAAAAAAAAATATCGACGTTGGATTGTTACAAGGAAGGACCAAAGTTTTTCCTGCCTATACCTCTAGCCATTTTTAAATAATTGAAATAAAAGTTTAATTTAGTCACTAAAAGAATAAATAATAATTACTATAATAATTTAGTAATTAATAAATTGAATAATTTTTTAAGAATTGTCAATTAAAACTGAATTTGAAATTATTTTTGTTAATAATAAAAATTCAAACTAAATTTTGATCAGGAAAAACTATTTTTCTGATCAGAAAAGAACTATATTAATGGAGTTATTGTTCAGAATTTGAAGTATTTTCAATAGTGGTGACGCGCCACTTTTATAAGACTTTAAAATACTCGCATAAACTGTAGATCGTTTAATTGACATTCTTGTAACTTTATCAACCAAAAAAAATCGGAAATAAAGAAAATCTTAACAAAGAAGCAAATGACTATTCAAGTTCCTTTGTCACCACTTTTACAGTAGATTCTGTAAGTAATTCAATATTCTTTCAAACAAGTTGGTCTTTGAATTTTTTAAAAGTGAAATTGAATTTTACTTTTCTGTAATGTAATATGAAAAGGATATCAATAATATAAACATTGAATGTGCAGTAGATAATGATGATTTGCAGGAATATTTATTTAATGAATCCAATCAAGAATCAATAACCAAAATGTTGATGAAAATTCACTATCAAGTGAAACTCAATTACCAATTGGGAAATGCTAATAATGATAGACATTCGGAGGTAAAGCTTGATTGATATAAATATTTTACGAACAAATATTTGGAACATAATAAAGTACCAAAGGGTATTCATTATACACATTATTTCATCATCAATAGGAGCTTCTTGATGTAAATACAATTGAATCATTTCATAAATATCAGCAAAAGATACTATAGTAATGATTTTTTAATATAAATATAATAATAGTAATAATAATAATAATAATAATCAATATCTTCTGAAAAATCCATCCATGTAGTTGTCATAAATAAACATCATAGATACTTTGATCATGGAATCAAGGTGAATCTTTAATTTATATCTCAGAAAGTTTTATTTGTTAGTTTTGAAAATTGTTTGATATCTTATTATAAAATTTTGCATTATCAATCAAGTATATACAGTACCTGGAAGAAAGTATCCGAACGCAGTTTTTCGAAAATTCCGCAAAATATTACATAATAAAAAAATA